TTTGCCAAATTTTCTGCGCGCAAGGCAAATTTTAAAAAAAAACAGGTCAAAAAAGCCATTTTTGGGCTTTTTTTGGAAAATTTTGACCCAAAAATTGCGTTTTTTTGGCGTGCGCTCCCCCTCAAAGTTAGAATACATTGGCGCCAATGGTGCCTTTAGAACCATTTTAGGGTCGGTCGGCCGAAAATGGATTTCTTAAAAAGTACCAAAGGGACCCTTTGGGTCGGCAGGGGGTCGAATCCCTGAAGAAATGCGTCCGCCCCCCCCCCCTGAATCCGCCCCTATCTAGAAGACAATTTTTTTTACTAACAAGCTAACCTACTCAAACAAAAACACATCAAATTTTTTTTTCAAAAATCATGCTCCGTTCCTATAAAGAATTGCAATCTCAGATAAAAATGTTTCTGCAACATTTTCAGGAACCATAAACTTCATAATCTAAACCATTATCATACTCAATCAAAAATGATAGGATCTTTTTTTTCAAAAGATTTGCATCATTACGAGAAATTTTTTTGAAAAAGTAAGTTATTGAGAACTTGAAGCTTGCATAAGATTTTTCAGCTTTCTTTATACAGTGTTAAGTTTTCTGGCGCAAAGCAAAATCAGCGATAGTTTCATGAACGAATTTTTTTTTATCCTTTTATCTTATTAAAGCAAAAACACATGAAGTATTTTCTCAAAAAGTATGCTACGTCCATTTTAAATCTTTGCAATGTCAGGAAGCGAAAAAAATCGTTTTGAAGAGTTTCAAACTTCCAAAACAACTTCACAACTTCTTAGTTTGTTCAATTTTTTTGCGGATTCAGGATAGCCAGTTACTGTTTTTATGGTTTCTGAAAAACTTAAAATAGTCTCAAGTTAGTCAAAATTATATCCAGTTGACAATTTTTTTTAATTATTAACAACCTATTCTACTCATGTGAAAACTCATCATTTTTTTTCCCACAAAATCAGACTCCGCTCAATTTCAAATGTTGCAGTTTCAGATGAACTTCTTAACCAACGATTTTAGGAGCGACATATTTTAATAATTAAACCGTTATCTCACTCAAACAAAATTAAATGAAGTTTTCGAAAGAGTCCGCTATATTCTTTTTTAAGTTTTGCCATTTCACGAAAGATTTTAGTTGCAAAAAAAAACATTTTGGAAAGCTGAAGTTTCAACATTAGAAATTATTCAGCTTTCAGTTCCATTTTTAAAATTTCTGACACACAAAAAAAAACAAAAAAAAGACTTTCAGAAGCAAAAAAAAATACAATTTTACATGATATTTTTCAAAAATTGAAGCTGTCACATTTTTTTTTTATTATTTGATAAGAACCTATCCTCCTTATGTGAAAATTCATCAAATTTTTTTCTTAATTTAGACTCCGCCCATTTTCAATTTGCAATTTTAAATAAAAATTTCTAAAAAAGAATTTCAGGAACGCTAAATTTTACAAATTAAACCATTATCTCACCCAATCAAAAATAAATGATATTTATTTTCAAAAGAGTCAGCCACATTCTTTTCAAAGTTTTATCAATTCACGCAAAATTTTCTTTGAAAAAACCCATTTTGGATAGCTGACCTTTCCGAAAAAAAGAAATTTTCAGCTTTCAATTCGCATTGTCAAAGTTTCTGGCTAAAAAAAGAGTTTCATGAGCAATAAGTTTTAGTTTTCTCCACAATATTTTTCGAAAAATGAAAATTTAAAAAATTTTTAATTTTTTCTACATAGTTAAAAATGTGCGAATTTAAAATCGTCAGTTTTTTTATTGTTTTTAAAAGTCCTAAAACATTCCAAGTTAGTGAAAATTATATCTAGATGACAATGTTTTTCGAAGTTCTTAAAAAGTCTCAATTTAGTCAAAATTATATGTAGAAGACAATATTTTTTTATTTATTAACAACCTATCCTATTCCTGTAAAAAACTTCGAAGTTTGCAATTTCAGATAAAAAGTTATTCAGCTACATTTTCAGGAACGTGAATTTTAACAATTAAACCATTATCTTGCTGAAAAAAAAAACATTTTTAATAAAAAGCAAGCTACGTTTTTTGAAATTTTACAATTTCAAGAAAGATTTAAAAAAAAACATTTTGGAGAGCTGAAATTTAAATAAAGTGTTTCAGCTGTTAATTCACCTTGTTTTTGGCGCAAAAAAAAATTGTTTCTGGCGCATTTCGCATTGTTTCTGGCGCAAATATTTCAGCAAAAATTTCAGGAACACAAAATTTTATTTTCCCTGACATTTTTTACTTGAACAAAAACACATGAATTATTCTGTCAATGAAGAATATTGCCTCTATTTTTATGATTTGATATTTGAATAATCAAAATGGAAAAAATCGTTTTCGAAAGCTTCAAGTTTCCAAAATATTTTTAACAATTTATACGTCGTTAACTTTTCGCGCAAATAGAGATAGTCAGTTAGTATTTTTGATGTTTTTAATAGTCTTTGGCTAGTCTCAAGATATTCAGAATTATATCTAGAAGACATTTTATTATGATTTTTTCTAAACATATCCTACACAAACAAATATCACATTTTTCTTCACAAACCAGGCTCCGCCTTTCAAAGATTGCATTTTCAGACAGTTTTCCTAAACAACAATTTCAAGAAAAAAAAATTCTTTTGTTTCTTTGACAAATTGCAGTTTCACAGAATATGAAATGAAAAAATATATATTCTGTTTGTCATTTTTAATGGTCTGAAATAGTCACAATGATGTCATAATTATACTTTGATGACAGTTTTCAGTATTCATTAACATTTTATCTAAGTCAAACAAAAACACATCAAACGTTCTCTCCACAAATCATTCTCCTGCTTTTTTCAACAACTAAATTTTCAGATAAAACTGATTTAGCAACTTTTTCTGAAACGATAATTTTTATTAATGAAACTATTGTCCTACTCAATCAAAATATGAAATTTTTTTTCAAAAAAACCTGTTACGTTTTTTTGAAAATTTGCAGTTTCACAAAATACAAAACAAAAATTTTTGGAGAACTTGAAGCTTCAAAAAAATTTCAGTTTTCATTTTAGAATTTTAAAATTTCTGTTTGCCATTCTTAATGGTCTGAAGGAGTTACAATGATGTCATAATTATACTTTGATGACAGTTTTCAGTATTTATCAACATTTTATCTAAGTTAAACAAAAATACATCAAACGTTCTCTCCGAAAATCATTCTCCAGCTGTTTTCAACAACTAAATTTTCAGATAAAACTTATGAAGCAATTTTTTCCGAAACAAAAATTTTTATTAATGAAACCATTGTCCTACTCAAACAAAATAAATTTTTTTTAAAAAAAAGCTTGCTACGTTATTCTTGAGAATTTGCAATTTCTTAAGAAAAACATTTAAAAAACTCGTTCTTGAAAACTTGAAGCTTCCAAAACGTTTCACCTTTTGTTTCACGTCGTTTGTTTTTCTTGGATATTAAGAGTCGGAAGTTTTTTTTAAAAGAATCTAAAAGTAGTCAAAATCTTGTAAAAATTTGATTCAGATGTTGATGAAAATTGTTTATTAAAACCCGCTCCTACTCAAACAAAAACACATCAAATGTTTTACCACTAACATGATCCACCCCTAAAAAATTGTAATTTCAGTAAAAAACTGAAAGAAATTTCGTTTTCCGGAACTTGAGGCGTCCATATAAAATCAATCGAACTTAGGACAATCAGTTAGTTTCTGAAAATAATCTTAAATTGGTCAAAATTATACCTAGATGTCAGTTTTTATTTTTTAAACAGCTTATCGTACTCAAACAGAAACACATCAGTTTTTTCACAAACCATGCTCAGCTCCTTTTTGAAAAATGCAATTTCAAAAACAACAAGCTCAGCACTCGTTTCACAAAAGATAAGAAAATTTTATATAGTAATTTTTGCATCAAGCTAAAATTTTTGAATTAATCTTTCAATAAAGCTTGCGATGTTTGTTTGAAGAATAGCGAATTTATCAAAAAAAAACAAATTTTAAAGTGGTTCTGAAGAATTTGAAACTTCCACAAATAATTTCACTATTTATTTTACATCGCTACACTTTCTTGCGCAAAAAAAGTTTCCCTCAAAAACTTCAGGAACATAAACAATTAATTATTAATATATTAGCCATCTCAAAAACAAAAAAAAAATGAAACATTCTCTCTATCAAACAGGCTACGTCACTTTTCAATATTTTCAATTTCAAGAACAAATTTTTCTTTAAAAAAATTGTTTTCATGAATTTGAATCTTCTATAAAAGTTTTCCGTAGTTGTTTTAGGTCAATAAACTTTCTAGCGCAAAAAAAAAGAATTCAGCAACAGTTTCAGGATCGATAAACAATATTTATTAACACATTATTCTACTCAAGCAAAAACATACGAAGTTTTTTTTCCAATAAAGCATGCTACGTCCCTTCTAAAGATTTGCATTTACAGGAACAAAATTTTAAAGAAAAACTCGTTTCGGAGAACTTGAAGCTTCCAAAAAATTTTCAGTTGTTTTAAGAACTTAATTTTTCTTGCGCCTTTAGGAATGTCAGGTTTTGTTGTCAAAATTAAAATTGCCGGTTTTGAGTCTTGACTGAGTTTCAGTCTCCGAGATTAGGTTGAATTTTATAGAAAGTCTTAGTATTCTCTAACTGCACCGAATTATTACAAGATTTTCTGACTTTTCGGACCAAGTGATGAATCTCCCCCCTAAATCAATTTAAGTATGGGATCGTTCGCTTGCATAAAAGATTTGAGCACAGTCCGTGCAGGCCTTACTGCTTGTATTTGCCATTTAATTTTAGGGGGAGAATGTTCACTTGGTATACTTAGGGGGAGATTGTTCACAAGCTCCGACGTTTCAATTTAAAACAAAAATGACTGGTTGCAATTAGACCCCTATATGTAGCTGTTGATGGTTTTGATAAGTCTGTTTATAAACAAATTCTTTTACCATTTTTTTAAAGACGGAAATTGTGAAACAATCATTTTTTAGGCACGTTTTTGCTATCAGATTTTCTAAGTAAAAAACTGAAAACAAAATTTTTTGATCGAAAAGAAATATTAGTTACTTATACAGGCATAATCATTGAAAAGAGTATTAGACAAAACATCAAGAATAATCACTGTTTCTTGTTAACAGACTCATGTTTAATAGTTTTCCTATATTTTACAAATCGTCTTCGTCATCTTCTGCGAATATAGGAACCCTTCCTAGACTGACATAAGATGATCTACGTCGTTCCTCTGACATGTATCGCTTACTCGAGTGAGAACTTGAACTGGAGTTACGCCTCGAGCTGGAGTTTCGTCTCGATATGGGCAGTTTGGATAGATCTGGCATCACTATTCTTTCTGGCTCTTTAGGCCTGCATCCCCGGTTGTTTCGGGATGGAAGCTGGGCCAGAGCTTCCATGTTGATATTCATATTTGCGGTTGGCGAGTTCAGGTTGCCAGTTCTGTTTCCAGCCACAGTACTTCTTCGCTTGCTCAAACTGAAACAATCAGAACGCTAATTTACACCGAGGCAAGCGGAGCCTCGCAACACTTGCGATGCAAAAAAAGTTCCTGAAAAATGAAGTTGAAAAGTTTACTTGAATTTTCTGGAAAAAAGTAAGTTGAAATATTAACTTGAAAAAACAACTTGAAAAGTTGATGAACGTACAGCTACAAAAACTTTATGGTTGTATAGACAAAAGTTCATAAGCAGCTTTAAAAAGAGAAATCAATTAACAAGCGTCAACAAATTTTTGGTCGAAATGTGTGAGCCGAAAACAAAACTGTTGTCATAAAAAACTTCATTAATTTTTAAAAATTTTACGACCCATCCAATCTGAAACACATAATCGCATGCGAGTATATTTGCCCTCGAAATTATGCAACAAAAGTTCACTGCAGACGATACAACATCAACTGAAACTGTTTAAATTTTTAAAAAAGAAACGAACAAAAAATACGAACTAAACCTATATCAGGCTTGGTAAATATTCAAATTACTGAAGTTTCAGTTGTTGTGAAAAATGGTTTAAATTGGAACAAAATTCATGCTCTAGAAACGAAGCCAATAAAACCCAATCAGTTAAAAAGGATGGCGTTCCAAAACAGTGGGAAATGAACCGACAAAAACTAGGACGAAAACCACGAACCCGCAAAAAAACGGAGAAACTTTTTGAAAAAAAAATCAATCTGAAACGGGCTTCACCTAATTACTACTTAAAGTATAGTAGTTTTTTTCGATCTTTCTTTAAATTAAGCATGCCAGAAGAGCAAGGAATTCAGATATGAAATGAGTCTAGTGAACAAAATTGTTTACGGGAAAAAAAGTCTAGTAACCGATTGCAATACCATTGCTTATCGCAAAAGTAATGATGAGAATAAACATGAACTAAACTAAATTGAGTTACTGAGAAACAGTGTCGAAGACGTAACCTGCCATTACTTGATAAACTCAATAGACACGACTTAATGATTAAAAATCATTATTGATCAATCTATTAATTTGAACAAAAAAACTGCAAAGTGCTATCAAAGGCTTCAATATGGTGCTTGTCGTTTCGGAAACATCCATAACAACAAGGTAAATTAAAGGTACAACAAGGGTTCAATGCAGTAGCGGATTTAGGGGGGACGGCGGGGGGCGGACACATTCTTTCCCTCAGGGATTCGACCCCCTTTGTACTATTTTCAGATATCCATTTTTGGCTGACTGGCCTTAAAATTTTTCCAAAGGCGCCTGTGGGAAAAACTTGTAGGAGCTAATTTTGTAGGAGCTCGCGCCGAAAAAACGCAATTTTTTGGTCGAAATTTTACAAAAAGTGCGTAAAAACGCCTTTTTTGGCCTTTTTTTCAAAAACTTGGTTGAATTAGGGTCTTTATAGTCATTTGGGAGAGCTTAGAAAATCGATTTTAGTCGACCTATTAAAAAAGGTCGAGAAATTCCTAGATCCGCGCCTGGTTCAATGTGCAATTTGTTGTGAGGTCGCGTGTTTGCTTGCCTGACGGATGCCCTGTGAATCATCTGGTGGTCGATCTCCTCGCTCTCTGTTAGCTTCTCCTTCTTGTACAGTTTGTACCAGTGGCCCACACTCACCCGCCCACTGTAGTAGACCACATTCAACACAAACACCCACAAGGCATACGGGATCAGGATCTGACAGAGGGCAAAAGAAGAACAGAGCACTCTTTTCCAATATTCTTAATACAGCCACTTACTTGAACATTGTTACGTGATTGTGCTTGGAGAAAACACGAGATCTATGGTAAAATCAAACTGAAACTCTAGGCTGAATAGAATTCTCAAAAAGCGCGCAAATTTGGGTTCGAGTCATTCACTTAGATACAAGGGTGGTTTTAGTGCAGGGCATTGGAGGGCAAGGCAACAATATTTTGTCATAAATACAACTACCTTGGGAATTGGATCCTCCTTTGGCCATTATACACTAACGTTGAAAGAGGTGGGGGACGCGCACCAAAAAAATCAATTTTGGTCGAAGCTATGAAAACGGTTTTTTGCAGCTTTTTCAAAAGTGTCCCTGCGGCGCAGACAGTTTCCGCAATAAAGGGTCTTTATAGTGGGTTGGCAATATCAATTTGGTCAACCAAAAAGAAAATACCTACTATTTTTTTTTCAACTTTTTAGAAATCGACTTCAAACATCTGCCAATGTTTAGAATTGGTTCGACATAAAATTCATTCATTTTTCAGTGAACTGGATGTTGACATTGATTACCTGATCACTAAAAACAGCACACTATGTTCCGACCAGTCTTTAAAAAATATAGTTTTTTTTCAAATTAGTGTCAATTGTTCAGTGTGGCGTGAAGGTAAAAATCTGAACCAAAAAATGTAAATTAGGTACCATCGACAGTCATAATCAAATAAGCCGATTGGAAAACAGTTTCTGCAAAAGAAATGAATAGCAAATAGGAAAACGAAAAAAAAATTGTAAAAAAATGTAAGACACTTTTTTGAACGTTCCCCTGAGGATCAATAAATTTTATATGACTTAAGTATAAAATTTAAATATGTTTAGAAAATTTAGTACTCAGTTTAATATGTTCTGTTTAACGAGTTTAAAATTTGTTTCGCTGCATCTCTCTCTATTTTGGCTGCTTTAATCTGGAGCGGTACTCGCCACGCTGCGTTTCATGTTCTAGTGATATCCAGGGACGAACATCCAAACTTTGGTCTGAATAAATGCGTTTCTAATAAGACCAATCTAGTCTCCACTGGTTTGCTTCGTCTCACTATTTTTGAGCCATCTGTCTCTTCCCGGCCCGACTCATCAGAAAAACCCGGAGGAGTGCTGGGTCGATTTGCCTCGTCCCCCTCTACTGCTATGTATCTTAAAGTCAGATTCTCCTCGGCCAATTTTTGCACATCTCGAGTGAGCGAGCACCTGATCGGCTAGTTTCTCCCATTCTTCGGGCGTCGTATCTTGAAGGGTTGTGCATCCAATACCAATTTTATCGATTCGTCTTTCTTCGCCGTGATAACTAAGGGGGCGATAAGACAATCACTAGTACATTTGTCTAGTTTTGATTGTTTTTTGTCTTGAATGTGAATAGGAATCCTTCTATCCTTTTTTTTTCTTGTATCAAGCATAATGGATATTTGAAGTTTGTACTCACAACATGATTTTTTGATTCCTTTTGGCGGTTAGATAGGTTAAATTGGCGGTTTAAATTAAAGGTAAAATTTGGGATTCCAACCTTTTGACTGCACATTAGCACGGTAAACTTTGATTTTTCCTTGGACATCTATTTCTGAGTTATCTTTATCCCCAGTTTGCTTTGTAAATCCAGACCCAGAATGCATCTTTCAAGGCGTTCTGTTATGAGGAACGATGCTCCTCTCACTTATCATCCAGCTGATCGAATGTCTGCTTTGAGCGCTCTTAATTTCAAAATCGGGTGTTTGTTATAATCGAAAAACTACTCTGACAGGTTCAATCTCTCCGCTGGAATGAATTTCGTTTTCATGGACCCCTTCAGTATCTTTTTTTTTGCCGTTGACCAGTTTAAGAAGGACACGGGGTTTCCCGTATCTGTTGTCATATTTATAATTTGATTGTCAATTCTGTTCAACGCCTTTACGCTTTGATCTGCTGTGACTGCGGACTCCTGCGTATATCAATCTATGTGATATTTCGTGTTTCCTTGCCACCTGGATGTCTTGAATCCTTGTTTTCTATTCGATTTTCAATGTAACCTTCGATTCGATCACTTGGTGTCTAATCAATTTCGGTTTACATGATCTCAAATAGATCGCAAGAATCAAATTTTTGGATCAGATTACCTTTTACGTCTGAACTTGTTGTGTTTTCCGTCATTTCGCTTATTTGTTGTGAACGGTACGGCACGTGTTAGTGAAGTGATTGGACTTGTTACAGTTCTTGCTTGGTTTCCCCATTGCTGGACAATTCTTCAAGTGTCCTTCCGCAAAAGCACTTCTTCATCTAGTACACGGTTTGTGGTCTGCCCGGGGCCTTGATTTACTCCTGATTTCGTTTGATTTCAGTTTATACTGTTCCGTGATCGGTCGTCTATTGTTTTGACCTCTTTTGCCTACTACCATAATGGGTTCTTGCTTTGTCTTGATTTTTGACCCAGAGAAAAGGCCTGCATTTGCAGTAACAGCGTGTGACTTTTGAAACGCTTGTGTCGTTTGATTACTCTGTTCGAACTTCAGAGCTCGTTTTAGGATCTCATCCAATGTAAATGTTTCGAATGTTAATGTATCTTTTGATACTGTGTTTTTCATCTTCGAAATAAATAGGTCCCTAACTAGTTCGTCTTCCAACGTGCCTAGCTCCGCTCTCGCTGCTTGTGCAGTTAGAGCTGCCTGAGAGGATTCCAATGTCCCCCGTTTCTTGAGATCTATTGAACAGTTTGTACCTCTGGTAGATAACACTTTGCGTTTTTTCAAAAGATGCTCTGGCCAATATCGCCATTTGAACTCAAGTTTAGACACTTTTCTCTGTGGGTTTTTCTGAACAAATCTTTTCTCTCCTTCCGTACCCAAAACAGAGAATAGTCTCGATGCAAGTCGTTTTTGCACTTGATTTTAAAACACATTGTGACTGACTTTAGGTCCTTTTTCTCTTCTTTCCTCATTTTCGAGCAGAACGTTGTCTCTCGAAAGTTTATCTTTAGCTTTCCAACCCGTTACTGCTTGGGCATCTTCACCTGTTCTTGGTGTTTCTGGTCGAGGAACGGGCTCTTCTAACACTGGTTTTGGATCATCCCTTAGTTCCTCTGGGTTTACATTTTCTTTTACCGTCACTGCCAATAAAATTGGTCGAACCAAATTTTAAAGGCCCCAGGCGGGTTGGAATATGCTGAAGTCCAGAACACAGGAACCCCCATGTCAGTCGTATTTTTATGAGAGGCAAGAATCCTGCTGGCTGCGCCATGTGATACCGATAGGGATAACTATAACTTGTGAGTGAAGACTGATAAGATTTCGATTAATACATTTAGACTGAAGTCTTAAATCTTTTCTGAGCACAAGCTAAGTGCGTATAACTGAGTTCCGTATCATCGTACGGTAGAATGAATGACAGTCTTCTTATGTTAAAAGTCAGCAAAACTTGACCTTGAATATAGTACTAACAATGATATATGTATACAGATAATGATATGAACATCTCAAGGTTACTGTAGCCAAATTTATTGTACCAATCAACATTGAAAATTTGAAATCACGACAACAGGGGCTTTAATATGATATAAAACTTGACCCATTCTGATGATTATTCGACGGTACCTGATTTTGTGTGGAAAACAAAAAAAGAACTAAAATAAACCCGAATATAAAATTCCTCACATTTTTCAAATGTTCGAAACAATAAAGAGTTATTTTAGTGGGTATATGGCATATGGTTTGACTGGAAAAGAGGCCTTGAGGGCCATGGCGGCGTGCATGGTCTGCATGGACAGGTATGCTATGGCCAGGGCTACTCCCACATTCGGCATCCACCACTCACAGATGCTCGTGACCAGCTCATCCGAAGGCTGACTCACCAGACAACTAGCGCACAAAAACTAATTTGTTGTAAACATCATTCTCTTTTTCTTAATTTTGGAAACATTTGCCTCTGTTGTGTTCAGCTAAGACCGCGGAATGAAAAAAAACTAGCATACGGATTCAATTGGAATCGAGATCGTATCAAGAAATTTAACAATAACTATTTTTTTGTAGACATAATCAATCTAAAAATGCTAATGAGCTCAAAATGTGCAGAAAAGTTCCGAGTATTTTTCAACTTTCGAGTTTCATGGAATAAATCAAATTATCTTTTAGCTTTTGAAAAATCGAGAGCTTTTCAAAATCGAACTGCTCGCAACCTTTTGCTGGCTTTGAGCGGATCATTTTACCACTGAACTGACTCGTAAAGTTTACTCAGTTTTGCTAACAAGACTGCTCGTAATATAGCAAAGCCCTGAATGCTCCGACTGATTTTGCGTGTGGGGGACTTTCGATTGCATTTTGAAGTTTGTTTTTACCTGTAGTTATTCTATCTTACTTTAATTCTTTTATTTTCACTCAAAGCAACCACAGACACGTTTTTTCCTAATACAAGCAGTCCGACAAGCAGTGTGTTAAATTAAAGTAATGGAAAAAAATAGATTATTGTTCCGACTTTCGATACGAAAGTAATTGTTCCGACTTTCGATACGAAAGTAACGGAATATTTGTGCTCGGGGTGAGTTTTTTCTTCAGACAAATTTCGACTTTTTAACTAGCCTATTTTGACAGAACTTTCTTATATCATTCGAAAGTTATTGTTGTCCTGAGCTCAACTTTGAAAAGATATTTTACCTGTGACTAATTTTCGTAAAATCACGGGGGTTTAAAGATATTAAAGCGGAGAGTTAATCCCTCTTAGAAATTGTTCCAAATTGGTTGAAAGAAGCTTATTTGCCATAATTGATTTGTTACAAGGAGCGAACTCTATCCTTTTGTACTTTATATGGCGTGTGGGGGGATGATTTTCATAAAAAATTTCAAATTTTAGAAAAAAAATATTCATTTTGTTTTCTTTCATTTAATTTTTTAATGTTATTACTGCCAAATAATCCTTAAAAGCCAGTCGCGCCTTCAGGGCTTTGCCCTGATACGAGCAGTCTTGTTATGATTCATTTTGGAATTATTTTAAATACAGAAGTTTTCAACGCGTTTTATAGATATTTATTCACAGAGCGCATAACTGTTTCGAATTCCGAATTAAACGGAATATTTAGTTCAAATTTAAAAAGATATTTTACCTCCAATAATTTTTTTGAAAAGTTTTGCTTGTTTGAAACTTGCCAAATTTGTCATGTTCTGGACTAAATTTTGCGCGCTTTGAAGAGGTTATTCATGATGCTGAGAGCGTAACGCGAATTATTTATGCGTGGCAAATTATCCCGCTCAACAAAACCGTTCCAAATTGAATTGAGGCTAGCTAATTGGTCGTAATATTAATTTCGTGCGACTCGAAATTTTACACATTGATATTGTCCAAAAAGTATAAGTTTTCAATATTTTAATTTCTCAAAAACTGCTCGGTATAAATTAAAGAGCAATCGGGACATTCAGGGTTTTACCTTGATATGCTAGCAGTCTTCCGACTTTCGAAGTATGTGAGAAATATACATGCGTGTGCTTACCACTATAGTAACCTTCTATGCGTTTGCCTAAAGCTGCTAGTTTTACATTCTCGCACCACAAAATCGTTCCACAAAATTGAATTGAGGCAGCTAGTTGATTTTATTGAATTCCTTACACGACTCAAATTGCAAACTTACTTTTTGATATTGTCAGCCTAGAACTCAAAGCTTTGCCAATATTTAATTTACAAAAATTATTCAAGACAATTTTAAGGGCAGTCAGAATATTTAGAGCTTTTCCCTGATACGAGCAAATTTTTTTCATTCGTATGCGCGGATTTTTAGCAAAAATAGTCGCCGGTAAAATAATCATACAAACCCTAAATCGAACGGATGGAGTCGATATCTTCCCTGTGACATAAAAAACGTTCGGAAAACAATTATGTAAGACCCCCACAAGGTCTGGAAAAACAACTATGAGAAACAAAACTGCTCGTTTATCAAGGCGAAGTTTTGAATTTTTCGACTACATTTTCAGGCCAATAAAAAAATTTTGTTGCAAAATAGACAAAATGATTTTTTTTTAAAAATGTTCTTTTTTATTTTTTTTTTCAATTCATCCCCCCACACGCTAACGTAGGTTAAAAAAAGAATGCATTCAATGTCCCGTATCCTAAAAAAAAATCAATTATATCGCGCGTTAATTATCCCAAACTGGTCAAATTAGCAATTTCCAAACTGTTCTTAGTTTTACAAAAAAAAGATCACAGGTGATTTTTTTTAATTTGAGCTTCAGAGAACAATATCTTTGAGATAGAATAAAAAAAATTCCGTGAAAAATGCTTAATTAAAAATTCTAAAATCTACAACAAGCCGGAACAAATTCGGAACAACAAGTAGCACTCAAAGTGATCAAAACTGTAATTGCATTCAAAAAATTAAAAATCGATTGCTGTAGAGACAGTAGAAAAGGGACTGCAGTTGCATATATCCATGAAAAGTCATTCAAACATCTGCACATGATGTTTTTCATTGCAGTCCGAATCACAAAAAAAACTTGAAAATGATTTAGCACTCAACCTTTTATGACTCGTCATAGTGGAATCTGATTTTTCAAAGACCATCGTTCATACCTGTTAGAATTCTGCGATACAGATTGTGTTTGATTGTTGTATATTTGTGTAGGTTGTTGTCTGTGTAAAAAACTATGAGGCTCATGTTTGCCTGAATAAAGTGCATTCATCACTATAAAGTGCGTTGATGAATGCACTTTATTCAGGCAAACATGAGCCTCATAGTTTTTTACACAGACAACAACCTACACAAATATACAACAATCAAACACAATCTGTATCGCAGAATTCTAACAGGTATGAACGATGGTCTTTGAAAAATCAGATTCCAATATGACGAGTCATAAAAGGTTGAGTGCTAAATCATTTTCAAGTTTTTTTTTGTGATTCGGACTGCAATAAAAAACATCATGTGTAGATGTTTGAATGACTTTTCATGATATATGCAACTGCAGTCCCTTTTCTACTGTCTCTACAGCAATCGATTTTTAATTTTTTGAATGCAATTACAGTTTTGATCACTCTGAGTGCTACTTGTACATCAACGTAATATTATCGTTCAAACAAAATTTTGGGAATCGGTTCCAAATGTATCTAAGTTAGCTTTGATTATGAAAGAATATGAATGTTTGCGCTTGGAGAGTTTTTTATCACGCTGAATTGTCAGCATTTATCTAGTCATTTTGTAAATTTTTATACAATCTAAGAGAAATTGATGTGCGGAGCTTAAAATTGAAAACATTCTCAAAAACTATAAAAAAAAAAATAGATTCTATTTTGAAAACTTTATCATTTTTTGGAAAAAGCGGTACCAGATACATTAACAGTCATTCGGAAAATTCAAAGCTTTGCCCTGAGCAGCTTTCGTCCAAATTGCTGATTTCGTCCAGTTTGTTACATACGGATTACTGAGTAAGTTTCTAGTTAGACAACAAACGATGTTTTAATGACAATTGGAAGCTTCTCAGACAAAAACTATGATATCTGCATTTAAGCTAAATGGTCAATAACTTCAATCTAACCGACCTGAATGCGAGTGCGCATCCGGAGCAGACGAGGGGGAAGAGGATGACCCATGCGAACTGTTGGGCAGAGAACTTGAAGAAGACAAACATGTGCGTGTAGAGTCCGAATGCTAACACACAGAGAGACAGCGACAGGGCCAGGGGCTTCAAGAAGTCGCCCATCTTCGGACCAATCACTGAGGGGATGGACTTGTACTTCGAAGAGATGTATCTGTAGAAAATATCATTGCTAGAGAAACTATAGTTATTTTGAATTTGATACATTGGCAGTTTGTGATAAACATTTACACCGGAAAACTCGCTTTTTTTCTCAAAGTTTTTTTCATTAATGACGCGATTCATAAAATTTCGAATTTAAGAAATTTTTTTCTTCGAAGTTTTATTCGTAGTTGAAAAATATTAAATTCGAGTGCCAATTGCCGAAACTGAATAATGAAATAATAACCATGAAATAATGTGGAACCTGTATTCACCTGAGTGCTATGCCAGGTAGTACAGGAGTGGATATCACTAAGAACCCGAGGGCGAACTCTATCTTGGTGTTGAGGAGAGGGTCATCTTCGGGGGAGAGGAAGGGGAGGGAGAAGACATGGTAACACAGATGGAACAGCAGCAGCACCAGAGGAATCGCAACTAGAAACACGCATCATCATCAACCAAGAGTTGTTTCATTCGTACACTCTGATGTTTGTCCATGACAAAAAGTAGCGAATGGGGTTTGATCACAATATTTTTGCTAATGTAATGCAAAAAAAATCTGAAATGAATTGACAAAAATAGGATTTAATTAATGATTTGCTGTTTTTTGGATTCCCAGTATTACTGAAGGGCATGTTCATCCCTTTTCAGGTTGTTAGAAGATTGTTCATAGGTTTCGTTCTACAACTAGCACAATCGCAGCATAGCTATTTTGTACACATGCTGTTGCTTGAAATTCATTCGTTGCCTGTTTCCAATTGAGGGCTAAGATTCGTTTTTGAGGCATTAGTAAATGAGAGATTCCTTGTACATGCGGCCATGATGAGGGAGTATAGTCCCTGGGTGTAACTGAGGTTCTTGTTGCCCCCGAACAGGTAGGCCATGAGGCGACTGAACCCACACCCTGGCAGTACACTGGTCATCACAGCTGTCACAGTGTCTCTGCTGTCGAACGCGAACACCACGCTCAGTCCAAACGCAATCTAAACACTTGCACATTTGCAATATTAAAAAAAAAACGTTTACGAATCGAGAACATTTCTTATGAGTTTATTTATTATAAATGTACATTTGCTATATAAGTCAAATTTATCATCGGTTTCATCGAAAATCAATTAAAAATTGATTTAAAAGTATGTCATTGCTTCTCTTGAAAAGTAGGTGCCTTTAATTGAAAAGGCAGAATACGGTATTCGATTAATGAAGAAAGATAAGAGGAAAGAAAGAGTTCACGAAGAGTGACTAGCCAGTGGGTTCACGATGAATCGGAGGAGGACTGGCAGCATTCTCTGGCGACACTTCTTCCAGTCCCTCCTCCACATCTTCGGGTGGTTTTCCAGCCCCATCACAAACATGTTCAGCAGCACCTGCAAAAAACACCCAATGATCACAGGCTGAAATTTTTGTTCCGACCACGACACTTAACTGGCTGGAAGGAACTGTGGAATAGCTAGCGATTTTTTTCTCAATTTTGATATCTCAAAAAAAACTCACAGGTGTTCAAGTGCATAATGCGCGTTCATGTGGCCCGAAATTGACAATTGACACGATAAAATCCATTAGTAAACAAACTCTCAATTTAATTTTTCTTTGCAATTTCAGCACTATTTTAATCAGGGCGGATCTAGGATTTTCTCGAGGGGGGGGGGGGGGGCGGATTTTCAAAAAAAAAAAATCGAAAACTTTGACGAGCTTTTTTATTTAGGCCGACCAAATTGATTTTTCGAGCTCTCCCCAAGCAGTGTTGGCAAAATATTCTGCGCCGCAGGCAAATTTTTGAAAAAACAGACAAAAAAGCCGTTTTTGGGCACTTTTTGAAAAATTTTGACAAAAAAATCGCGTTTTTTTTTGGCGCGCGCTCCCCCTCAAAGTTAGTATATATTGTTGGCGCCCAAGGCGCCATTAGAAAAATTTCAGGGTCGGTCGGGCAAAAATGGATTTCTGAAAAAGTATCAAAGGGGGGACCCTTTGGGTCGGCAGGGGGTCGAATCCCTGAGGGGGAAAAGGGCGTCCGCCCCCTCCCCCCCTAAATCCGCCCCTGATTTCAATTATTATATCGTCTCATCAAATTAACTCGATTGCCATTTACTGGAAAAAGAGCAACATTAAATTTGCTACAGCTTTGAAACAAAAGTAAAAAGATTTTTTTTGTTTGATTTTTTTGAAGTCTTTGGTCGAAACACTCTACGCTGCATGTACAGCACAGCAACCGGCTATCCTTGTTGAGGCATTGGATCAGATCTACCGCCTCTTTTTAAATTAAAATTAGAGGACGTGTTTTTTTTTCTGCCTATTTAAACTCAAAGTTCGACCATCAATTTTAAACAGAAACTAGGAAGATATCGAACAGTTGATCTGGAAAATAGGTGGTTGCACCTAAAATCTGCAGTAAATACAACCTTTCTATCACAATTTTGATTGCCAAACTACAAAACTTGAATATAAAACTGCAATGCTCACATCGGCAGCAGTTATTCAAGCAGAAAACCCTATTCAAACATGTCTTGCTCCTCTAGATTGAAAAAATTATACAAAATCATCTAAGTTGTCAGTGGGAAAAATGTAATACTGATTTAAAGAACTGACCATGGCGATGGTCATGTAGAAGAACATCTGCTGTGCGATTCCATCGTAGGGAAGTATCATCACCTGCCTCGACACAGAGTAGGTGTCGTTGTCTGGAGGAGAGAGGTGGTAGAACAGGGAGGGGTGCTCATCATACTCCTCCTCCCCAGTCAGCCCCGGAGGTAGGTCATCGTCACAGTAGCCATTTGTGATGTAGAACGAAAGACCGGCGTAACCTGGAAATGCAGCTTAAGTATTTATTTACAGCTCTATTTTAAAGGTGTTTTTCTTTTAATGACGCACTTTCACTTTTGCGGTAATTAGATCTCTTTTCCACCGAAAGCTCCAGCCGAAAAACAATTCTTTTGGGTCAAAACCTTCCAATTTTTTTCATAATTCACTCTGATTCCTCCTCAATATAGTTTTAGATTCATGCCCAGGTGGCGGATCTAGGATTTTCTTGAAGAGGAAAGGGGCGGATTTTCAAAATGATTTTGTCTACTTTTTTTTAGGTTGACTAAATTGATTTTCCGAGCTCTCCCAAAACAATAAAAAAAAACCTTGTTTTGGCTAAATTTTCCGCGCCGCATGCAAAATTTTGAAACAAAACAGGCCAAAAAAAGCGTTTTAGGCACTTTTTAAAGAACTTTGACCAAATAAACGCGTTTTTTCGGCGCGCGCTTCTTCCTTAAAATTAATAAAGATTGGCGCCAAAGGCGCTTTTAGAAAATTTTAGAATCCGTCAGCCAAAAATGGATACCTCAAAATAGTACAAAGGGTACAGAGGGGGGTTCTTTGGGTCGGCAGGAGCAGGGACGGATCTAGAATTTTCTCAAAGGGGAAAAGGGGCGGATTTTTAAAAAAGGTCTGAAATTGCGTCTACTTTTTTTTAAGTCCAATCAAAATATTTTTCCGAGCCTTTCCAAATCATTGTTAAGGCCTTTTGACCAATTTTTTGAAAGACAGGCCAAAAAACGCCACTTTTTGGAAAGTTTTGACCAAAAAAAGTGCGTTGTTTTTGGTGCGCGCTCCCCCTCTAAATTTTTATATATTGCCGCCAAAGGCGCTTTTAGTAACTTTTAGGCACGGTCAGTGAAACTTGGATGTCTTAAACTAGTACCAAAGAGATGCCCCTTTGAGTAGTCAGGCTGTCAAATCCCTGAAAGAGCGTCCTCCTCTTCCGATTTTCCGAGCTTTCTCAAGACACTATAAGAACCTTTTATGCTAAAACTTTGAGGGTCGTTACCTACAGGTTTGTTCACAGGTGTCTCAGTTCTTACCAGTCCAGAAGCTCCTGATTGCGATTGAGTCTGACACCAGATGTCTGGAGGGGAAAAGAGGGACGGAGTAGTTTCCATTCACATCCAACATGGTGTGGTCACTGGGCTTCAGCTGCAGACAGGCGTTCGAATCAGTGGAGTAATTGAAGTGGATATACCCGTCTGAGTTTTCAGTGATCTGCAACTGGTCCAAGTCCAGCACCGATATGTTCACTACATCCGATCTGTTTTTCAAACCCCAACACAAGAAGTCTTGAGAGCTTTCAGACATTTTCTTGAACAGCGAAAACATCTGATTGTAGTTTATAATACCTGCACGTATTCTTTTATGTATTAAACGATAATTGATAATCAAAAGTAAATCAAAAGCAAAACGCTTTGCTTCGTATATGTTTTTTGATAATATGTCATTTTGCGAGAAAGCTGAGAGGTCTTCACCTAGTTAATGCATGCGCTGCAATCAACTCAGATATTAACTTATCATAATTTAAATAACTAACAACTGATACTTTTTTCCACTACAGTCTACTATGGTATCTATTATGGTAACCCCCCCCCCCCTCCCCACCGTATCTATTAAAAAGTTGTCACTCCTATAAATGAAAGCGGTAAAATAGCATAGAACGTTTTATTTATAATTCGAATTTTACTGCAACCTAATCTACTTAACAACTGGCACCATTTCTTAAAAGGTAATAATTGTTCAGTTAATCCCAATTTTTATAAAAGAAAACAGCGTTTTGGAAACTTTAAGGGTTGCAACAATACTTTTTTCAAGCTAAATTTTTGATGCAGTTTTTTACGTAGAAGTCGCGTTAAGAAATCCTGACTTACTTAAAATTCGCCCCCTTTTCTTGAAAAGGGGTAATTGTTAAATAGATCCCAAATTTTTTTAAGGAAAACGGCGTTTTGTAAAATTTTAGGGTTTTTAATCTTAATTTATTTCCATACTACTTTTTCGATGCATGCTTACTGCGTGAAAGTCACATTACGAAAGACGGATTTACTTAACGATACCTCCGGGGTATCTAATAAAGAGTTTCCAACCCTTATAATTAAAAGCAGTAAGCTAGCAATAGAGCGTTTTATTTATTATTTGAACTTTGTTGCATTCTCAATTATCGAAAATTCGAACACCTTAATCTTCTTACCACTTACATCTTTGTTGAAAGGGGGCGTAATTATAAGAAGACGGGTCGAGGTGCTCACTGTATACTTCGACCGTCTCAACCAAATATCGGCATGTTCCGACCGTGCCTGACCGAAAAAAAATATTCTCGACACAAGCAACAAATTTTTCAACCGTGCTCGATCGAAATCAATATGCTTGACCGTGGTTGACCCACGCGAGATATGTTTTGACCGTCTCGGCCGAAGTCAGGTATGGTTCAATTGTCAATTCACCATTAGATATCCAAACTTGAAAGTTATAGTTTATGCTTTTCAGATAATATCCCAGACTGCTTTTTTATCAAAATGAAATTAGTAGGTTAGTTGCAACTTAAATGCTTTGTAGAAATGAATTATTTTTAGCGTAATATTTGTCATATTACGGATACTCTGAAGTTCAATTTGAGTCAAAACCGTTAACAAATATATTGATATTCGAAAGAAATTTTGGATTGGGACTCCAATTTACCGCTGACAATCGATAACTTTGGATCGTTCTTCAGGAATGTTTCGACCCTGCTCGCGCTATGTTTCGAGTTTGTGCTCGACCCAAAACCTTGTCTCGACTATTCTGTTTTGGTCGAGCAAGGACATATGCTCGACGGACTGTGATAGCCTAAGAAGTGCCAGATTATTCGTGGCTTGATTTAAATATGTGACATAAATTAGATATTATCAAAGAATTACTATCAAAAGACTACAATGGCGCAAGGTTGAGGCACGAGCCACCTTCTCACGTTCTCAAACTTTCTAGTGGGGAAAAAAACCAGTACACATCCGTAATATTCTAGTTTACCGGCAGCTTGTTAATCTTTGAAAACTGTGCATGGAAGAAATTTCGAGGAATCAAGTAACTACCTAGTAGTTGTGTGATGAAATCAGTCGGTGATGATTGGGTACGTTTTAGCTTAAGCAAAAAAAATATTTAGACAATCATAAAGAATACTGAGCTAAAAAAAATATTGAAAAAAAATCTTTTCAAGCATTTTTCATCAGTTGAATTTCGGAGGGCAATTGTATCACGTTTAAGCTCTGTGAACTTCCTGAATTCTATATACTTGTTCCATAAAACATGCCAAATAGAAAAAACGGGGCAATCGTTTTTTTTTCGCTGGGAATTCAAAAAATTCCACTTTCGAAACAAAGTAAACTCCACTATTTGGTCTTTCTCTAAAAGTCTAAAACTAAGAAAAATTACCTTTATTTGGACTTTCCTTAATGCAGAGCGCAGGTTTTTTCTATTGAGGAATGTAATTTGTTATTTAAGTTTTGTAGAATTCATTATTGGAGAGCATATTTTTTTTGAAGAGCGTAAATGAATTTGATTTGGCCATAACTCAAAAAAATATATATTTTTCCGACATATTTGAGCTGTGAAAAAAATATGATTTCAAAGTGCTGGTTTGATGAGAAAATTGGTTAAGTGTATTACTTTTAAAAAATGTTAAAATTATTTTTTACTTTAAACTGATTTTTTTTATAAATCATTCAAAATCTGATTTTTTTGAAATTCCAGATTTTTCAGTTTTGTCGAAGCAAAGCAACGTGTGAAATTGAGATGAAAGTCGCTAAAATGAATCAAGAAAAGCCACTAGACGGCTAAAGTTAGATCTATTATTTTAATAACTTGGTTGCAAATTGCATGGAGTCAAGTTTACATAAGAAAGCATGTCAAACAAGACAATTGGAAGTTAATTTGCATCAAAACTAAGCTTATGAAGCGGTGACGAAGCTGACAATTTTTGGAAAGACACACGTATAGCCAAAAAATTTTCATGAACCATTTTTTTCAAAAAGTTAAATCTCTATTCATGAAAGTTACATGCGTAAAAATTCTCTGCTGCACATTAACCGATGAAACAAAAATTGAAAAACGTTCAAAACATCTTTTTTTAATTAAAAAAAATTTAAAACAACGATCAAAACGAAATTCAAATTTCGAAAAATTTTTACAACTTAAATGCCAATTTAAAAAAGGCATACGAAAGTTTTTAGAAAAAAAACTGAACCTTCGAAAAGAAGTGGGAAAAAACCAACAATAGTCCGTAAAAGCTGAAAGTTTCTAGTTTGCAAAAAAAAACAGGTCCCGACCGGATGCTGTCCACAAGCTTTTTTTGTATCGTTACCTCTACAACAGATGCGCTGGCCTGATAGCTGATTGATTTTGAACTCAATGGCCAAGCAAGTTGAAACACGAGTAAATTTTACGTGCAATTTCATGTTTACAAATTTGTGTACGGGGAACAAATCCAGTAACCTAAGGAATGTTGCTTGTCGCAGGGGTTAGTGTTGTAAGCCGATAAAAAATAAGCCGAAAAATTCAAGTTAGCAGGAGTAAATGAAAACATAAAAAACAACTGAATTGGAAACTGAATACAGCAAAAAAAATTCTACAATGTGGCAACTAAGCAGACAAATAATAGGCCGACAATATTTTTGAAACTCAATTTTTTCCGTTTGAAAAAAAAACTGGTCGTGATCAGATTCAAATCCAGGACTTTTCCCGTCCCAGGTGTAATCGTTACCTCCAGACTAAGTGAGCCAGGGACGCTCTAAGTGTACCAGACTAAATGTGCCTGGAAACATAAAATCATTATGCACTAAAAAACCAAGTGATTCACTCATACAAGAAAAACCCAAAAAAAAAATATATATATTTTCCTACTTAAAAACGCTTGCTAATCGCAAGCGTAAGTAATTAATTTTTCTGCGATTAATTTTCGCAAAGTTATTCATACTTGAAACTTTTCAATTTGGGATAAAAACTGCGCGAAAGACTTCGTAATATTAGAGCGTCCACTCATTCCGGCTGAAAAATTAAATAGCGTATGGCGGATAAAAAAATCATTTTTTTTCTAAATTTCTCCTAAAAAAAATGGTACATTAATTGCAAAAACTTGTCAATTTTGGTTAAAGAATGCGAGAAGGATTTCGTGCAAATAGAGCGTGTATTTATTCCAGCTGAAAAAATTCTTCTCAACTGAATAAAGGCTAGCTAGTTCCTCTAATAATTACGTTTAAGCTAAATATGCCACTCTGAATTTAAGTAACGTGTGGAGGGTATTTTTGAATTAAAAAAAAACATTTTTTTTTCTTTTTGTTGATAAAAACAGTACATTGATCAAAGGAAGGCATTCAGAACATTCAGAGCGTCACCCTGATTCAAGCACTTTTGTTCGGAGTTTAAGGATTTCTTTAGCAATAAGACAATTTTGTTTGATGATTACTAGCAGCCCAATGCAGTATAAGCAGCGCCTGATAGATGACTTATATCCTGAATGGGAAAAAACCATGACCCTTCTCAGATGGCTACATGGAAGGCTTGCTAGTTGGATTGATAACTGGATGAACTGATCGATGATGGACGGACGAATAGCTGAATAAATGTACGGATGGCTGAAATGTTTACAGATGAATGTTTGGCTCAATGAATGGCTGTGTGGAAGGACTGATGGATATCTGAGTGGACGGCTGAAAAAAAACAAGAAATGATAGATGGATGGATCCATGGATGGATGAGCCGATGAATGAATAGATCGCTGGATAGAACATAGAAAGAATTGATGCATCGATTAGATGGAAGGTAGATGAAAGAACCAATGAATGACTGGAGTGACGGATGGACGGCAGGTCCTGTTCGATGAAGGCTTGGATAGATGGACGGAGGGCTGGCCAGATAGATGGATGGACAATGATGGATAGATGAATAGATTGAGGGTGATGGCTTAATACATAAACGGACGACTTGACTCGGATATAAAAGGAAGAATGACTGGTTGGATGGCTGGCTGAGCGAATGATTGGCTAATTGGAGAGATGAAATGAATAATTGGTTGGATGGATGGCTAGTTGATTGCGATTCTGGAAGGTTAAATAACACGCTGGCTGGATGGTTGGGTATATGCGGTTGAATTGTTTGATGGGTGGATGGGGGGTTCGATGGCTGCATGATGGATGGCTTCATTTAATCCTTTCATTCGTTGGATGAAAGGATAGATAAATAGATGGCTGATTGGAATGCTGGTTGAATAAATGGATGGTTGGCTGGTTGAATGGCTGGTTGCAAGGATGAATGGCTGAGTAAATGGACGGATGGATTAATGGAAGACTAGATGACTGGATTGATGAATGGATGGAAAGATTGCTGAATAGTTTGATGTTTGAATGGGTAGTTTCAGAGATAGCTAGTCGAACTGATGTATATATGGATGGCTGAGAACATTGCTGGATGGATGGATG